TATTGTGTTGGATTGCCTGGATCAGAATCTCGTGGCCCTTTTTTTGCTTTGTTTTGTCAGAGATAGGTGTTCTACTGCTGTGAGAGAAGCTGTCTTTGGAGAATTCTTTAAAAGGCCTTTTCATACTTGATACCAATCCAAAGATTGTAGGTATTTAAGTTCAGCAAAATAACCCAATATACTCCAACAGTCCCTTATAGTACTGGGTTATTAGCAGAACTGATAATTGTCAGAAGTTCTTGACATGAGCCTTTTACAACTCAGCATATTAATATGAAATTACTTTTTATACCTCGTGGTTATACCTTCTGCTGGATGGTTAAGACCAAGACAAAGCAAGACCTATATAACTAAAAATGTAACTTTTGTATCTGACAAGGTCAGTCAAATCTCCTCAGGATTTAATCTAAAACCATGTACAGCACCTTGCAGATATTTTGTCAGTGTCACCCATCAGGATGAGTCACAACCATTGCTTGACCAATTTGCTCTCTGCGAAAGGTTGAGAGAATTTTTTTTCTCTCTAGGTGACTCCCCTTAGGGACATTCTACATCAGTGATTACTTTCCTCTGTGGCCCCATAATCTTCTTGGTCGGGAAATTTGGGAAACCATTGAGTTACATGATGCCACAGTACAGATTCTCATGTCCTGAGTCCTCATTGCCTTGAAGGTCTAGGGCCAAAATTTGGGCTATCCTGTAGCCCTCTATTCCTCTAATTTTTGGTCTTCTGTAACTTTAGTTGCAGAAGAAAAACTTAATGATATTATTACCCTGTAACAGAGGCAGTTGGGCTTAACATCACTATCTGTCTGAATATGAAACAGCTCAGACATAATATGGAACTGCTATTTTCCAACTATAGATATTTTAAACTTTAAAATCCTACAGAATGTAAAAAAAATTACAATTTTTTACACAGAAATTTAGAAATCAAAACATATACAACATTGTAGCAGGACAATCCTATGATTTTTTTTTCTTGTCTCTTGTTTTCTTTTATTACTTTTTTAAAAAATAAACATTTATTTTAAAGAGAGTATAGCAATAATCAATATAACATTTGAAGAAGTGCACATTTAGAACACCAAAATGACAGGTATTTCAAGCATGGCTTTAGTATTACACATTACTCTCCTCAGTGTAGTTACTTAGTTCACAGATATCAGCATATACAGTTAGTCAGAGTGAGAATTCTACCCATTAACTGGTATGTCCAAAAACCTGATGGAGATTCATGGGAACATTGCCTTAACCATCTTGTTTATATAAATGTGTGGTTTTGCTCCTGCCATACTTCCTAACATTTATCCTTTCCCTCTTCATTGTTTAATCCTTTAGTTCTCACTTTTCATTTATTTTTATTTTTTGTATTTTAGGGGTCTATGGGGTGTTCAGGGTCTCACTACTAGATCAGGCATGAAGTGATCTGCCTGTTTACAGCCTCCCAAGAGGTGGGAATACAGGGGCGTCCTACTGTGCCCACTTTAAATTGCTGTATCAGCATACCCACAGGGGTGAAGCATGCACAGCAGGCTTGGGGATCAAACTCCCAGCCCCTGCGCCTGCTTGTGGGCACTTTAATCCATTGAACTATTTGGCCAACCCTTCTCCATTTAACTGTGTTATACCATTCAATTTTTATTTCTTCTTTTGAGAATCACAACATCTTTTTCATCCATTCTTCAGGTGATGGGCATCTTGGTTATTTACAAGATTTGGCTATCACAAATTGTGCTGGTATAAACATAGTTGCACATATATCATTATGATATGATTTTTTAGTTCTTTTGGGAAAATTTCCAGAAGAGGGATAGCTAGATTGAATGCAATTTCCAGTCTAAGTTTTTTGAGGAGTCTCTACACTGATTTCTTTAATGGCTGCACCAGTTTACATTCTCACAAGCAGTGGAGAAGGGTAAGGTGAGATGGTATCTCAGTGTTTTAATTTACATTTCATGGGTGGCTAATGATGTGGAGCATTTTAAAATGTATTTATTATCTTCTAGAATTTCATCCTCTGAGAAGTGTATGTTCATCTCGGCTGTCCATTTCTGGATTGGATCTTCAAATTTTGGGGTTCTAAATTCTAAATTTTGAGGGTTTTAGTTCTTTATAAATTCTAGATAGAAGACCTTTGTCAGAGTGCTTATTACTTAAGAAATTTAAATTTACAAATTTGTGGGTTGTCTTTTCAGTCTGTTGCTAATTTCTTTTGCCATGCAAAAACTTCTCAGTAAGAGGAGGTCCCTGTTGTTACTTCTTTCAAGTATTGCCTGTGCAGTATGATTTTTGTTCATGAACTGTTTACCTACTCTTATGTCTTCAAGATTTCCACTTACTTTCTCTTGAGGAGATTTAGTGTTTCTGTTTTATTTTTTTGATCTTTAATCCATTTTGACTTTAGTTTAGTGAATGGTGATAGACCTGGGTCCAGTTTTAGTTTTCAGCATATAGAGAGCCAGTTTTTCCAACATCATTTGTTAAAGAGAATATCTTTCTTTCAGTAAGAATGTTTGGCACCTTTGTCAAAGATAAGATGGCTGGGTGTGTTTGTTGCTGCATCTGAATCTTCTAATTTATTCTATCGATCCTAAGGTCTATTTTTTTTTGCCAATACAGTACTGATTTTATCACAGTAGCTTTGTAGTATAATTTCAAGTTAGGAATTGTAATGCCTCCTGACTTGCTTTTGTTGCTTAGGACTGCCTTTGCTATTCTAGGTTTTTTCTGGTTCCAAATAATTTTAGGAATTTCTCTAGGTCTGTGAAGTATGTTGGTGGTATTTTGTTAGGGATTGCATTGACTCTGAATAACAATTTTGGGAGTTTGATCATCTTCATGATGTTGGTTATTCCTATTCAGGAGCAGGGAATATCTTTCCATTTTCTGAAATCTTTTACCATTTCTTATTTTCAGAGCAATGTAATTTTCATTGAATAAATGTTTTGCTTTTTAGTTAGATTAATTCCTAAGTATTTCATTTTCCAAAGTGATGTTCTAAAAGTATTTTTTCTCTAATTTCTCTCTCAGTGTGTTTGTTATCTCTGTAGAGGAATGTTACTGACTTTTGGGCAATGACTATTCTGGCATGCTACTGAATTTGTGTACCAATTCTAGTAGCTTCTTTCTGGTGCTCTTTGGGTCTTCCAAATAAAATATCATGTCACTGGGGGCCAGGGAGATGACTCAGTAGAATAAGTGCTTCACTGGCAAGCACAAGGGCCTGAATTCAATCCCTAGTTCTGAAATAAATAAATAAATAAATAAATAAATACCATGTCATCTACAAAGAATGATAGTTTAACTTCTCCTTTGCTTATTCTTATTACATTTATTTCTCTGTCTTATCTAATGGGTGTAGCTAATTATTTCAGAACTATATTGAATAGGAGTGGTGATAGAGGACATTCTCGTTTTGTAGCAGATCTGAGAGTAAAAGATTTCAGTTTTTCCCCATTAAGAATTATGTTATCTATTGGGTTGTTATAGATAGGTTTTATCAGATTGAGGTACAGGCCATCTATTCTAATTTGCTATAGGACTTTGAACATGAAAATCCTTTTCTGCATCTCTTGGATTGGACATGTGGTTTTTGAATTGGCTCTGTTGATATAATAATTATATTCATTGATTTTCATACTTTGAACCACTCTTGCTTTAATCAGGGTGAATCCTACCTACTCATGGTATATAATCTTCTTGATGAATTGTTGTATTCTATTTGCTAGAATTCTATTGAGGATTTTTGCATTTATGTTCGTGAGGGAGATTGGCCTGTGGTTATCTTTTTTAGCTGCATCCTTCCCTGGTTTTGGTATCAGTATAATACTTGCCTCAAGGAAAGATTGTGGGAGAATTATTTTCTTTTCAATTCCATTGAAAAGTTTAAGGAGTATTGGGATTTTATCTTCCCTAAATTTCTTGTAGAATTCAGTT